TTTAGGGTCATGACATCACAGGTCCCCTGGAACCAAAGGCCACCACCCCTAGCTCCAGTCCCAACTCCTCCCTGTATAAAGTTTCTGTGATGAGATTTGGGCACATCAGGAGAGGTGATTGTTTTGCATGAAGAGCCCTCCCTCCTTTGGCTGTTGCAGGGGATAAGAAGGACTGGAGGAGCATAGGCTCAGCTGAGGGTCATACGATTCAGAGTTGTGTAGGGGTTTCCACTATGGCCTGGGTTCCTCTCCTCCTTACCCTCCTCATTCACTGCAGAGGTAAGTGCAAGCCAGGTATTGGGGCTGGAGATGGAAAGACCAGGGAGCCCTGTGTCTCTCTGCCTCTGAACCTGCCTTTCTAGCCCCATGTCTCTCCTGACTTTTAGGGTCTTTGGCTCAGCCTGTCCTAACTCAGCCATCAGCAATGTCCGGGTCTGTGGGGCAGACAGTCACCATCTCCTGCACTGGAAGCAGCAGTAATGTTGGACGTGGATATCCATACTGGTTCCAGCAGTTCCCTGGCAGTGTCCCCAGACTCCTCATCTATGATGCTGATAAGAGACCTTCAGGTATTCAAGACCGATTCTCAGGCTCCAGGTCAGGGAACACAGCCTTCTTGAGCATCTCTGGGCTCCAGTCTGAGGATGAGGGTAATTATTATTGCTTTGCCTGGGACAACAGCAATAATGCTAACACAGTGCTCCAGGCCAGTGGGGAAGTGAGACAAAAACAGTGAGCCGTTCTCTTATGCATTGCTGGTCAGGACACCCCCTCTCTCTTGAATGGCTCAAAGGTAACAGTTGAGATCAACTTCAAGGAATGCATTTCTGTTTCCCTATCTCAGTTCCAATATCCTTTGCGGAAACTAATTTTGTGATATTTAGAAATGGAAAGAAATTACACTCAAGTCTAGGACCTGACTTCCGAGGGAGTCTATGATATGGTCAGGGCAGAACCAAAAATGTAGAATCCATCAATATCCCACTGAAGTAAAAACTGATTTAGAAGTCTATCCAATTATATAATTTACTAAGTCCCAACTATATGACCACCAACAATCTAGGTATTCAGATCCGGTGTATATAAGATGGGGGAAAAGACATATTTTCTTTAACCTCACAATGGAATTAAAGAAGTAAGAGAGAAAAAATATATATCTATACCAATGAAAATTAGCATAAAACATTGTGGGATAGGTAGAAATTTGTATTTGAAAACTAATTTTTTTATTTAAATACTTTTTTCAATTAGGATCATCCCCTGGAGGCTTGCTGACAATAGGCAATCAACCTAGGGCTATATATTTATATATAAGTACATTTATTTGGAAAATCAAAAGGGACGAACTCATTCAGCATTTCTTAAGCTCAAGGAACTGAAGAACAAATTCAAACCTCGAGTTACTATGATCAAGGATGCTTTAGGCAGAATGTTAAAGGATTCAGCAAGTATTAAAAGAAGGTGGAAAGAATATACTAAATCACTGTATCAAAAGGAACTGGCAGACACAGAAGAATTTAATAAAATAACATATGAGCAAGAGTCTATGGCTATGAAGGAAGAAGTTCAAGCTGCTTTGAAGACAACAGCAAAAAATAGGGCTCACAAATAGATGGTATACCAACTGACAAATTTCAGCTCACAGATGCTGCCCTTGTTGTGCTCACCAAGTTGTGCCAAGAAATCTGGAGAACAACCACTTGGCCAACTGACTAAAAGAGATATCTATTTATTCCCATTCCTAAGAAGGGTGACCCAACAGAGTGTGGAAACTATAGAACAATATCATTGATTTCACATGCAAGCAAGATTCTACTGAAGATTATCCAAAAACAACTGGAACAG